CTGACATTTTGACCAAGTGGCTTTCTCTCCTTGGTTCAATAAGCACAAGCCAATGAATGTAACATATCGTGTAAACAAAAATCAAGGGCAGAAACAATGTAATTATTCCAATTGACACTGAAAAGGCATTTGACAGAGTTCAACATACCTTTGTGAGAAAAGTTCCAGAGATCTTAGGAGGGGCTGGAACATACCTCAAGACAGTAAAGGTTCTGCCCAACAACCTGTAGCCAACATTATATTAAATGGAGACAACCTGGGATCATCTCCTCTAAGATCAGGGATGAGATAAAGTACCCACTCTCCTCTCTCTTATTCAGTATAATGCTCAAAATCTTAGCTACTGCAATTAGACAAGAGAAAGACATAAACGGGGGGGGGGGGAATAGAAAGAGAAGAAGTCAAACTAGCCCTGTTGCCAGATAGCATGATTCTTTACTTAAAAGACCCCACTGAGCCTACTAGAAAACTCTTCAACCTAATAAACAGTGAAGTTGCGGGAGGGAAAAAATATAGCTTTCATTTATGTTCACAGTCTACTCTCTGATAAATACATTGTAAATAATATTCCATCCGAATTAATTCCCCCAAAATTGGGTATTTAGGAATGTATCTAACCAAAGAGGCAAAAGGTCTCTACAATGAGAGATACTGAAAAAGAAAAGCACAGAAGATGCTAAGAGATGGGAAAAGCTCCATGTTCCTGCATAGGCAGAATGAATACTGTGGAAATGTTTATGCTACCAAAATTAATATACATAATTAATGTAATAGTTACCAAATTACCATGTCATATTTTACAGGTCTAGAAAAAAATAATCAAGGTATTTATATAGAACTGGAAAAGCAATCCTAAGGAGACCAATTCTGGAGTTAACAACACCAGACCTCAAACTATACCATGGAGCTATAGTGATGAAGAGAGCAAACTCCAGTATCAACAGATGGTACATGTAAACACAGGCAGCTGCCCCAGAATGTGAGCAAGTGTTTACCAGCTACACCTCACATAGGGGGCTGATATCCAGAACTTGTAAAGAACTGCAGATAATCGTGTTTGAGAAGATCAATAAGGTCCGGAGACACCCAGCACATTTTAAATCTGCTACTTAGAATGCAGAATTCTAACAAAACTTTCGCTAACACAGATTAATTTTTTAAAACAAAGCATTTTCTGGAACAAAATCCTTTGTTCAAACTGAATTTAAAAACCATTTTTCTCTTTACCACAGCTAAACTGGCTCAGATTTTCCACCTTTTGTTGTGTGTGTGTGTGTGTGTGTGTGTCTGTGTCTGTGTGTGTGTGTGTATGTGAGAAAGAGAGAGAGAGAGAGAGAGAGAGAGAGAGAGAGAGAGAGAGAGAGAGAGAGAGAGGAAGGAGATGAGTAGCCTAAGCTGGCTGCAAACTCACTATGTATTTTGAACATCTGATCACCCTGCCTCTGTTGGGATTACAGACATGTGTCATCACAGGATTTTATGTGGTTCTTGGATTGAATCCAGAAGGCAAGCACTCAACCAACTGAGCTACTCCAGCCTCCTCTACACTACTTACTTTATCTTTTTAATAAATTATTTTTCATTGGGCGTGGGTGTGCACCTCTGTAATTCTAGCACCCGGGAGACAGAGGCAGGTACATCTCTGTGAGTTGTAGACCTGTCTGTTCCACATAGTGAGGGAAGGAAGGAAGGAAGGTAGGAAGGAAGGAAGGAGAAGTGAAGGAGGGAGGGAGGAAGGAAGAAAGGAAGGGGGAGGAAGGAGGGAGGAAGGAAGGAAAGGAGGGAATGAGGGAGAGGGAGGGAGGGAGGAAGGAAAGAAAGAAGGAAGGAAGAGAAAAATTATTTTCCTGGGGTAGGCATGTTTTTATTTGTTTGTGGTATATTCTCACTATGCAGCCAACCTGGTCTGAAACTCCCAGCCATCCTGTTTCACCCTCCGCAGTGCTGTGATTATGAAAATGAGTCACCATGCCTGGCTCTACTTCTATTTTTTAAATAAAAACTTGTCAACTCAATTATACTTGTGCTTCTTAAACAGCCTTATTGAGCTTTAGTTCTCATAGTGTACGGTCTCAGGATTTACAATACACAACTGGATGCTCTTTAGTCTCCTGACAGAATCATACAGTCATCGCCACAATCGGCTTGGGAGTATTTTCATTGCCTTCATACACTCATCCGCATCCACCCCATCTTACGGTTTCCATTTCTGTGAGGAGACACCATGACCATGGCCACTCTTACAAAGGAGAACTGTGGCTGGCTTACAGTTTCAGAGGTTCAGTTCATTATCATCATGGCAGGAACTATGGTGGGGTGCAGGCAGACATGGTGGGTGCTGGAGAAGGAGCTGAGAGTTCTACATACAGATCAGCAGGGGGCAGAAAGACAATGCCACACTAGGCCTCTCTCCAAAAAGGCCACACCTCCTAATGGTGCCACCCCCTAGAGCCTTTGAGGGCCATTTTCTGCAAACCTTAGCCCCAAAGTGACCACCAAGCTTCTCCCATCTTTGTGAATTTACTCATGATGGATATTTCATAGACCTGGAATTCCTATTATGCGGTCTTTTGTGATACTTTTTTCCTTATAAGTACAATTTGTTTATGATTATTATGTTGTTGCCGATGTCAGTACTCCACTTACTGCTGAGCATTCTGTTATATAGACAAGCTACGTTTTATTTTCTCACATACTAGCTGACCTAACAGTTCCTACTTGATACCGCTGTGACTATCGGGTGTTTCCATTCATAGCAGATACACACTTTTGTGTATCTTAGCTGTTTTCTATGCAGGAAGACACCAGCTGAGTTTGGATCTGACTTTACCCGGCTTTCCTGGCTAATGCTCCAGCACTGCGTTTCCCTTTCTAGAAGACGGAAAGGGAGGAAGAAAAGAGGAAATGGAGGAAGGAAGAGAGGCTGTGTCTGTTCACTTGTCCTGTCTGATGTCCCTGAGAGCGTGGCAGACACAAGAAGCCTGGGGTTGAAAGGCCAGCATCAAAGCAATCGGGTCAAAACTTCCCACATAGGAGAAGCCTTGTGAGAAAATGAAAATTTGGGTTGGCAAGATGACTCGGTGGGTAACGAAGGGTACCAGGTGCCAAACTTGATGACTTGAGTTCACTCTTCAGAATCAACATGGTGGGAGAGAACCAACTCCCATACGTTGTCTTCTGACCTCACACACGTGCAGTAGTGTGTACTGGCACATGTCTGGCACACACAGTCACATCAAACCACAATTTTAAAAGAAAAGGAAAGCTAAGCTGGTTCTATATTTGAAAAGCTGAAGGAGAGAGGCCCACAGCATAAGCAGTGGCCTGGGGAATGGGTTGGAAGCAGGTCGCTTATAGAGTAAGAGGTAGCAGGCAAAGCTGGGATGACACTCCCAGCCCCCATCACCAACTCTGGGAACCACATAATTAAAGGTGCCGAACCACAAGCCCAAAGGTTTAACCATCAGTTTTGTGTAGTGTTAGGAGGTCATTGGAGAGTGTGGTTTAGAGGCATGCGTAAAACGACTGGACCGAATGGGGAAATTTTGCCAGGGCAAATTCTATCCTTAGGTCTGTTTCGACAATTCTGGGCTGAGGTAAAGGCATCGGGGATAGCCAGCTGGCACAGTTGGTGGCTTAGATATTGATTTAGTGGGCAAAAGCCACATTCATCATGGGGCTGCTTCCCCCCACGTCTATGAGCAGGGAACTCATCATTTCTCTATTACATAAATAGATTTGCCACTCGGTGTTGAAATCCATGCCAAGGGTTTTCTGTTAATCAAGCTAGAATCACAGGTTGGAGGACACGGTGGGCCCTCTGCCAGCTAGGCAAGGAGCTGGACCCAGAGGCACGGGACGCTGCAGTCAACTCACCAACCATCCCTCCTCTGGCAGTCTGGGCAAAGCCGGGAGAGGCCTGGCAGTGCGGCTCAATTGCATCTGGGGTCTCCATAGACATCTCCTGAAACCGCAACTCTTTCGGAGCTGGCCAGCCAAATGGAGCTCAGTCCCAGGGGTCCCTGGCTAGGCCATTGTTACTGTCTGCAGGGGCTGCCTGGGGGAACAGTCAGGTGGGGTGACTCCTGCAGGAAGCTGAGGGGAAGCAAAGGCTTGGGAAGGGAACAGTTGACAATAACAGTAGTTTGCAGTGGTGATGGTTAGGGATTGGGTAAAGCTCCCACCTTGCTCCACAGTGAATTAGAGTGCTCAGGACTCTGAGCCCCCCCCCCGTTAAACAACAACTAGCCATCCAAGCCTGGAGGCCGCAGTGGAGTGGGTTTCTCACCCTCTGGGCATACCAGGAGCAGCCGGGTCCCCTCTACCCGTGCACTGGAGCAGTGTCTCTAAGATGCAAGTCTCTATCACCCCTGGCTAGTCATAATCTGTGTCCCCAAACACGCCCACTCAGCCTCTGCCATCTCCAGTGCCAGCCTGAGCCTCCAAACTAGGGTAGGGTGATCCCAGCTTCATAGCTGCGAAATGTCCGGTGAGTGGTCCACTCTTAAGTACCACCACGCTGCAAGTGCCAACACAGCTCTGAGTAGAGGGTGGTCTTTCCCTGCGCTGGGGGCTAGCGAGCCTGGCCCTGGGCTGGGGGTGGGATGGGGGCAGCTCTGCATTTTGCCAGAAATCTCTCAACCACCTGGAGTGTCTAGGAAGTCACTATCAGTATTTTTCTTCCCTGTTATCTATACCGTATCACTATTAGGATCCTCTTCGCGGTCAATAAAAGAGGGAAGGCGACATAAAACGGGGGAGGGAGGCTGGTTACCCAGAGAGGGCGGGATTATCTGTCTATACCGAGGGTGTTCCTCACTGTACAACTTTATGACCCCAGCCAAACTGGATTCTGTCGGGCAGAGAAGGACCGGCGGCTGTCACCCATTCTGTTTCTCCTCCGATGTAGGGCGGAGGAGGCTTCCCTAGGGCGTTCCAAAGCACTCTGTTTCTCCTAGCCAGCTTCTATCTTCCTCACCCTCCACCGCACCCGTGGTGTATCCAGGCACTCGTCCCTCGGGAGGGTGAGCTGGGGTAGCAGAGAAGCCCCAGGAGTGCCGGGCCTATGATCCTCAGGCTCTGGTGGCCCCAAGTGCCCCACCTGCGCGTGACTCCTCCTCCCGGCTCTATTCCGCAGCGTCGGCACCCTGGCGACACGCAGTTTCGGCCACCGCACCTGCGTCAGGGTGGAGTAGGGGACAATCTGGAGGTAGAAGGGGAAACAAGCAGGGCCTTGGGGAGCACCGCGGTGCGGGGTGAGCAGCCTCGCCCCGGGTGGCGGCCCCCGCAGCCTAGAGCCTCCCACCCGGTCTGCGGCACCGATGCGCTGTCCGCGGTGCTGACGCCGGCCGGCCGCTCGGTCGGGAGGGGGAGCAAACGCCCTGGTTCCCGCCGCGCCCGGAGCCTGTCCTCGGTTCCCAGGCCGTGTCTTTCGCCCGTGACGACTCCGCCGGAGTCCTGGCGCTGTGGTGGGATCCAGGAACAAAAGAGTGAGCAAAGGGAAGGAACTTAAACTTCAGGCCGGAGCCCAAGAATCGGAAGTCGGGTTTGGCTCCCGATGGCCCCCGCCCCAGCCTCTGAGACCTCAAAGCACCAAGTTGAGCAAAGTTTCCCAGCGGCTTGAGAAGGGAAGAGATCCCGGAGCCCAAGCGCAGGGAAGGAAGGACGCGGTTGTCTAGCGCGCTGACAGCCAGCACCGCAGTGGGACACCTGCTCCGGTGGGACGCGATGGTGCCGCCAGGACGACCCGGAGACGTCGCCGCAGCCCAACTCTCCACCCCTTCCTCCCTTCCTTACTCACCCCTCCCCAACACCCCGCCCCATGCTCCGGTGACTCCGCCTTTCCGTGCCGGGTAGCTCTTCGGCAGTAGCAGGGAAGGGAAAGGACCGCTTCCCCGGAGGACTCGGCTCGGCTCTGAGGCTCCCAAACCGGCTCAATCCCAGCGGTGGAACAGGATCGCCGGCTCAGCCCGCGCCTAGGCGCCACCGAGCCCCAGCAGCCTCATGAGACGCCCCAGGGGACTCTGTGTGTGCCCTGACACCGTGTTCCGATCCTAGGCGTCCGGACTCCACGGCTCAGCCGCTCCGCAACCCCACGGCCTGTCCGGAGAGGAGCATGCGGCCCGGGGCCCCAGGGACTCCGGCCACCGGGCGGCGCTGGCCTAGCTTCGGAGCTCGGAGCCCGAGGGCAGCAAGTGACGAGCCGCGGGAGGCGGTAAGGCGTCGGGGAGCAGAGACAAGCGCTCCAGTCCGGGTGCCCGCTGGGCCGCACGACCAGTGTGTGGCCTGAACGCCCGGCGGGAGGCGGAGGCTCCGTGCCGTCCCGGTTCCGGGGAGGCTGCAGAGTGGCTCCGCGGCGGCCCCAGACAGACCTCTGGCCACCATCCTCACGCACCTGCTCCTGTGGCGGGGATGTCACGGCCCCGGCTCCGAGCGCCGCCCCAGCCCCGGGGTTGAGCTGCGGACCATGTCCTCCCGCAGCCCCCGGCCCCCGCCCCGCCGCTGCCGCCGCCGCCTGCCGCGCCCCTCCTGCTGCTGCTGCTGCTGTCGCCGCTCGCACCTCAACGAGGACACCGGGCGCTTCGTGCTGCTGGCCGCGCTCATCGGCCTCTACCTGGTGGCGGGTGCCACCGTCTTCTCCGCGCTTGAGAGCCCCGGCGAGGCGGAGGCGCGGGCGCGCTGGGGCGCCACGCTGCGCAACTTCAGCGCGGCGCACGGCGTGGCGGAGCCGGAGCTGCGCGCCTTCCTCCGGCACTACGAGGCCGCGCTGGCCGCCGGGGTCCGAGCCGACGCCCTGAGACCGCGCTGGGACTTCCCCGGAGCCTTCTACTTCGTGGGCACCGTGGTGTCGACCATAGGTGAGCGAGCGGCGCGCCCCGCGCGTCTTTCCTCTGCACGCCTGTCACTCGCTGCCCTCTCCATCGATCTGGGGCTGGGCCCTCTTCTGACACCCTTTGCTTACTTTGGTCTCGCTCTCCGTCCCCTGGTCCTCCTACTTTTCTTTCCGTCATTAGGAGGAGCGAGAGGGGGCCCGAATGGACCATCTCTAGCTCTTATCTATCAGCTGTCATTAGTGTGTCAGCCAGGCGCCGAGCGCTTGAAGCGCTCCATGTCCAGACTCTGCTCCTTGGTTTTGTCCTCTGTCAGGGGGTTTGTGAGAACATGTGTCAAGGGCTGTTATTTCCCACCCTACTCGGCCCTCACTACCCTCAGCGGGTGACTATAAAAGCCATTCCCAGCGTTTTAATTTCCTCCTTGCATTCTCCTCTCCTGTCCACACAGCCCCACCCCCTCAAAGTCAAGTCCGTTATTCACAAGCCAGCCCTTCCGCTGAACTGTTTTACACCATTCGCCTTGGTTGTCCCCTTCCCTCACCCCTGACTTCTCCAAGTTCTTGACCTGTTGTCTCGGCCCCCCACCCCAATCAATAGTAGCGCCAAAGGACAGCCAGGGGATAGTCGCCTTCACGTTATACTTTCGGTATAAACAGCTCAAGTTTTCTTAACCTTGGGGGAAACGTGCAGACTCTTGAGCCCCACCCCCAACCCTCCTTTTCAGCTAGGTTGAAGTCCCCTGGAGCTCCTTCTGGAGAGACAGTCTCCACTGTGCTCACCCATTCCCACCCACTCCTTTCCCCAGGCGGCTGCCATGTAAAACAGCCACCTCCCCCATTTGTTTAGCGGAAGAACATACTTTGACAAGATTTGGTTGTGTCTAACCCACTCCTTTTCGAGTCTCAGGGTAGGAGAAGCGCTAGCTGGTCACACTAGTCACCCGAAGACATCCTCTTTGGCTGGTGCAATTTGGGAGGAAGGAGCTGTATTTTCAGGGCCCAGAAGGGAGGAATTTTATAAACACCTCTCCTCGTGCCCGTTCAGAGTTCGCCTACTGCTGCCTGGAGGCCTGGAGACAGGTTTGTTTAGGCTATGCACAGAGGGAGATGTCTCTCTGCATTTCTGTGTGTGTGTGTGTGTGTGTGTGTATGTAGAGTCTGTGGAAGAGCTTCCTTGCCTCCAATCATTTCTCTCCTGTGTCATGCTCGATCTGAGTATTTTAAATAGAGTCCAAAGTCTACACAAATTAGATAAAAATACCCTTTAAAAATATATCATGTTGTTATGGTGATTGAAGATATAAAATGACCCCCCTCAAAATCCCCTTTTAAGAGCTGCATCGAGTTGCTATAGCAACTAGAGGTTTTTTTTTTTTTAAGTGCTTTAAAAGTACTGAGGGTGCTTAATCTTGGAGGATGACATCATGTGTTCATAGTTCATTGTTGACATGGACTCTTCTTGTAAACAGACCCTGGTGCTTCTTCGACCTAGAGGTACACCTGTGACTGTATTTTGTCACAGTACCTTTCTCTAGCTTCCTAGTGGGACTGCAGGATAAGCGGAAGCCAGTGTCTTCTTCCCTTACGGGCTGTGAATCCATCCAAAGAGCCTGTTCCTGTGATCTGTGCTTCTCTCATGAGTGTCACTGTCCTTTAGAAGCAACAGTGACTCTGAACCCAGGCTTCAGCTCCGAGCACAGGATAGAGTCAGCTTGCTTGGAAGTCGTGCCATGCCTCAATCTTTTATCTGCCGTCAGGACTGGCCGTTCTTTAGTGGAAAGGAACCGAGTTCTCCCTTTTAGATGTAGACAGGCAGTGTGCACAGGGCACACCAAAGCTGATGGCCGTGTTACGAATGACCTAGCAAGTTGCTTCCAAAATCTGCAGGGCAACGTTAGTACCAGCCTGTGGATGGCTCAGGATTGGACTGGCCCTCTGTGGGGATACCGAAACTGCCTTATGAGTAGTCTGCCAGCCTGCTGTGACACTTGGGGACAGTGGCTTAAATTGACCCTCTTATGTCACCAAGTAAGTTCTGCTGAGTCCCCTACCAGCATGACTAGCCTTCCCGCCTTCTCTGTGGATGGCGGAGACTTCAGTGAAGACCTACATGTGCCAGCTTATTTTCTACTTATATATGTCCTTTAAATGTCCACTTGATCGTTACTGATACAGTTATGGATACAATCACACAGGGAATCAAAACTCAGCTACATGAATAGTTGGGGTTCTGTAGTCTGCTGCCTCATCCAGGGAAGAGGGAAACTACCATGTTCAGGGTTTTACTTGACAACCCATCATCGAGGGGTGTGGTTCACACAACAGCGTGGAATTCAGGGGTCCAACTATGTATTCTGCCCAATGAAACAGAGCGTTTCTTTTGGTGTTCTTTATCTGGCTCAGATAAACGGTCTGTATAGTTTTACTATAGACATCCCTTCATTCATTTCATAACCATGAAGCATTGTGTGTGTCAGGTCCAGTACTGTGTTTTGAAAGGTTTAACCTTCGTCCTATATGCCAGTGGTTTAAGTGTATTTCAATATGGGCAGCTGAGATGCAGCATGTGTTAATCTAGCCTCACCAAAGATGACCAGACCAGAGAGGAGAGGCCTTTGGTCAAGTCTGTGCAGTAGAGAGTCTTAGGGGGTCTATACAAGGTCACACAGTTAATGAGGGACTCACCTCAATCCAGAGTTTGATTTGTGTGGTGTGTATTACAGCAATTTCATAATAGTGCAGCGGGAATATCTTTATATGAAACTGAAATATCAATGTCTATCTGTGAGTGTGTGTGTGTGTGTGTGTGTGTGTGTCTGCCTATCTGCGTGTATATATGCATACATCTGACACCAAGGCAGGAACTAGTTTACTAGTCAGGGCAACAATTAAGTAGAGAAAAAATTTGAAGGATCACACAGATGTTACAGGCAAATGAGTTAGAAGCTGCCACAAGCCTTAAACAGCTGGATAGGCAAGAGTCAATACAAACTACAGAAAATCAGAGCTAGGTCCTAGCAAGCATGGGACATTCTGATGTATGGTTCGAGAACTCTCACTCCCAAGAGCATGTGCTCAGGGGAGGTCACGAAAAGGACAGGAACTGGCCTCCAGTAGTCGGCAGCATAAAGGAAGGTTCAGTCTGGCCATGTGTATTCAAGGTCAGATGAAACGTCACAGTGAGAGGGAATATTGGTCCTAACATTTGGCTTGAACGGGACCCCATATCCTGAGCTGGGCACTTTGCAACTGTGTAAACACACACACACACGTGTTCACATGGCACAGACCCCATGGGGAAACGAGCCTGTGATTACTCGGCAGTAGTTGAGGCCGTATAAAAACTCATCTGAGTAGCTCAAGCGAGACATTTAAGAAGCCCACTTTATGCTCACACAGATCTGAAACCCTGGATAATTACTTCTCCCATTTACTCCCCATGACATGTTCCCTGGGGCGGGGGTTAAGTTTATTTTAATGGGAACATGTTGGTGTCTGCATCCCTCCATTTAACAATCACCCAAAGCAACAGCATTCGAGGCAGATAGATGCAAGTGTGACCTTTGACACTTCATCATCTGGGGCCAGATGAACTAATGATGAAGACGGTTCTCTCTCTTCTAGCTCCCAACTGTGCTTTTAGCAGCAGCACTCTGGCTTGGAGAAATGCAGAACCATCCAAGGAGTATTAATCCATCACCTCACGTCTCAAAGGCCGCTTTGTTGGTTTGCTTTTGAAAAGATTAAAAGGAAGCTGTCCCTTGGGGCTTTCAGCACACATCTGCCTTCAGTTTTACGCGTAAAGGAGAACATATTTAAAAGCCATTCTCAAATGGCAGCTTGGTCGCAACAGAAATATTTTCGCTTCCTTTTATTAGGTTTCCTTGGCAGAGTTTTTTAGCTGTGAAGCTAAAATCATGCCGGTAGAGATGACATGGTGTAGGTATGAGAGTTGTCACTTTTGACACTGCATAATTTAGCTTGCTGCTTTCAGAATTAAGCACACTCAGTTAGTTATTTGGCCACAGATTAGTAACAAGTCCTAACTGCACTCGTACCCCCCCGCTTTCAAAAACAGAAACATGGGTTTTTAAGAGATGTCTTTGCTGCAGAGCAAACTATAAGGCCAAATTGTCTTTACGATAATTCATTTGGGTTTCTTCTAACATGCATGTAATAGAGCTGGAGGTAGTTTTGGCACCTGGCATGACATACATGTCCCAGAAGGAAGGGGGTGCCTTCATTCAATTCCTTCTTTCATTAATTCATTTTTGTTGGAAAATGTTGGCTGTGGCAGAATGGAAGGATATTGGGAAAATGAAGATGGATGTTTCTTTCCTGCCAGGTCCAGGTCCTGCCCCAAATAAGCACACGGATGTTCTCTTAGTTATAAAACTATTGGCAGAAGGCTAGGGCTGCTTACTGACTAGCTCTCTTAATTATCAACCCATAACTACTAATCTATGTATTTCTTCATGGCCTAATCTTACCAGAGAATGCCTGGTACATCCCATCTTCCCAGTCTCTACATGGCGTCCCTTTCCGAGGCTCCTCCCTCCCTTCTCTCCCCAGAATTCTCCTGGTATCCTAGCCCCAACTATCTTGCTGCCTCTATTGGCCAATCCGTGTTTTATTCGTCAACCAATAAGAGAAACATGTATACAGAATGACGTCCCCCATCAGGGAAATACACACACTGAATTTGAAGCGGGAAATGAACTGGAAATGCATTCCTATTCTCCTATTCTCTGTGTATGTGTCGTGTCCCCCTCTAGTCACCGTCCCCCCCCCCAGCCCCGCCACAGTGAGCAGTAATTGATAAGTGATTCAGAGAACAAGTCGCTCATGCTATGACATTGCTCCAACAATGTGTGTGTGGGTCTCCCTGCAGTGAGAAAAGCAAAAGGACCTAGCGGATGTGGGCTGCGCCGTTTCCCTTTGCTGTATGGTCCATGTTTCCGCACGGTCTGCACATGTGGCTTTTCGTTACGTGCACGATATTCTTTGCAGCTGGTGCTTCCTTGC